TTTGCTACAATTTTCTTTTGAGCAGAGCAAATATGACTCATCTTTGTTTCTTCGGAAAATATCTACAGGTTGTGCTTCTTGATGACATAGATCATGGTGATCATTTGGAGTACTTAGCAGGTGATGTTGGTTGGTTTGGTAATGGCAGCAGAATTGTTGTAACAACTAGAAATAGACATTTGATAGAGAAGGATAATCCAATATATGAAGTGTCTACACTGCCTAATGAAGAAGCTGTTCAATTATTCAATCAACATGCTTTCAGAAAAGAAATTCCAAATGAATGTTTTATGAAGTTCTCATTGGAGGTAGTAAATCATGCTAAAGGCCTTCCTTTAGCCCTCAAGGTGTGGGGTTCTTTGTTGCATAATAAAGGCCTAACTCAGTGGACAAGCACTGTAGACCAAATAAAGAAAAATTCTAGTTTAGAAATTGTTAAAAAGCTCAAAGTAAGTTATGATGGGTTAGAGCTTGAAGAGCAAACAATATTTTTAGATATAGCATGTCTTTTACGAGGAAAAGAAAAAAAACTAGTCATGCAAATCCTTGAGAGCTGTGATTTTGGAGCTGAATGCGGATTGGATGTCCTAGTTGACAAATCTCTTGTGTTCATCTCCAAATATAATGTGATTGAAATGCATGACTTGATTCAAGATATGGGTAGATATGTGGTAAAAATGCAAAAGGATTCGGGAGAACAAAGCAGACTCTGGGATGTTGAAGATTTCGAAGATGTGATGGTCAACAATACAGTAAGTAGGCTAAACAATGCTATAATATTCAGTTTTTAGTCTCCATCTTCTATTTTTTATTTAAAAGATGAAAATTGTTGGTACCCTATCAATTACAACTTCGTTCTCTTACAACATGAAAAACTTTTCGATTGGACTTTAAAGAACTAGTTGAAAATTGTATTACTAGAAATTAGAAATATAGAATTAATTGCATAAAGTATTTCTCTTTAGCGACATTTTTCTTAACTAATATTGTACCTTAATTTTATTTAATGGTCTCTTCAAATGCAATAATAAATAATACAAAACATAACGAAATTTGGCATTGCAAACAGTTAGAAAGTAGTCATATTGGCATGCAAATTTTATACAGATATTTGAAGTTATACTTTGTAAACTAATGAACCTTTTAACAGGGGACCAAGGCAATGGAAGCAATCTGGACACATGGTGTTCAAAAATTATGCTTTAGCAAAAAAGCCATGAAAAACATGAAAAGGCTTAGATTATTATCCATCATTAGTTTTAGTACACATGATGACTCCATTGAGTACCTGCCCAACAACTTGCGTTGGTTTGTCTGTCATAGTTATCCTTGGGAGTCATTATTAGAAAATTTTGAACCTAAGAAGCTTGTTTGTCTTTATCTCCAGAGGAGTTCCCTGCGTCAATTATGGACCGGAATAAAGGTACAATTGTTGAATTCAATTTTCATTATTTTTCTTTTTGTCAAATACGTACATAGATAGACTCTCAAATTTTAAATAAATTTTGGTCTAAAGTTGTTGGGGTGGTCCAATTAGAGTCAAAACTGAGGGACCAGTTTCGTTGGCTATTTTGTATCAAGAATTCGAATTTGATGAAATAGTTGTTGAGCTTTTTAATTTTAGCATAAAAATACTTAGTTTAGTTGACATAAAGGATAATTTTATATAAATTGGGTTAGAGCAAATTTGATTCAATGACTATGAGAGTAAGATATTTTTTATTGGTCTACTAGCCAAATCAAAATTATCCTGGGCAGCATCCTAATTCTCATTCTTTCTGTGTTTTGAATAGCAGCATTTGCCGTCTCTGCGAAAGCTAGATCTTAGAGATTCAGAAAGGCTGATTCAAACACCAGATTTCACGCTAATGACAAATTTGGAGTATTTGGATCTGCGTAACTGTAGTGATCTTGAAGAGGTTCACCGTTCCTTGGAGTGTTGCAGAAAACTCATTGTGTTAAATTTGCAGAGGTGTAAACGCCTAAATAAGTTTCCATGTGTTAACGTGGAATCCCTTGGATCTCTGATTCTACTACATTGCTCTAATTTGGAAAAATTTCCAGAAATCTTTGGAAGAATGAAGCCAGAGTTAGAGATCAAGATGAGCTGGTCTGGGCTAAGGGAAATACCATCATCTATTATTCAGCAATACGCATGTCATCTTACAGAGTTAAGTTTGAGTGATATGAAAAAACTTGTAGCACTTCCAAGCAGCATTTGTCAGTTGAAAGGTTTGGTGAAGCAGGATGTGTCATACTGCTCAAAACTTGAAAGCTTGCTAGAAGAGATTGGTTATTTAGAAAACTTGGGAGGGGCTTCATGCAAGCTTTACTCTAATCTCACGACCTCCGTCTTCCATCATCCGCTTGAACAAGCTTAAAATCTTGAGTTTTAGATTGGACTTGAAACCTATGTTTTTTGCCACAAAAGAATCAAAATATAGAGTGTCCTTTGTGTTCCCTGAGGTGAATATGTTAGCATGATAGACAACTAAATGATTGTATATATTAATGTAATTATATAGTGATATAAATTAGCATGATCATATACATTTGTTGTAGAATCATATGAATAAATATTGTGATAGAATAGCTGATTTGGAGGGATAGCAAGGCAGATTTAAAGGGATTCAATGGCAGATTTGTATAGATAGAATAGCTGATCTTTAGGGATAGGAATGGCGGATCTTTAGGGATGTGTAATCTTTATTTTCTCTATATAATGGAAAGACTCTCACTTTGAGAGGCATTCAGCTGAAAATTGACAATATATATATATTGTGTTATAACAACTGATATTGTTAGTATATTACCTTCCCCATATCTCCAAATATCACAATGACTCTTGCCCCGGAATAGGAGGAGATTTAAACGAATATTGCTTGCTCCAAACAATTGAACCACTGTTTAACATGTGACCTAACTTGTATGTGTACCTGAAATTTCACAAAACAGGACCTCAAAAGTGGTGTGACGATGAAGTATCAACGTGCCATAAAATAAAACTTACTCCATGTTTGGCCACAAATCTTTAAGGAAACTTGTATGTATGAATCCAGGATCGCGTCATCCCATAGTTCTTGCAGGCTTTCCTACAAACGCGCTCAAAACATTATTCAACAAGTTTTACCTCTCAAACTCTATCTTCAACTTTAGTCAGAAAAAACAGAGGAAAAAATCAATATGTTGTTTAATAGAAGTCCTCATACCACACACACATGCTGTTCCGATGAAATGTTAGCGTCCCTGCTGGGGAACGCTTTTGCTCTTGGCCCTTCCAACCCCATTCGACGAATAGAACAGCCTCATCTATGTTGTAACCACTCGTCCAAGTAACCGTCATCTAGGAGAAAAATATACATAAGTTAACTTCATGATACGAACACAAATCTCCAATATGTATATATAGCAAGAGAAAAACTTACCATATCCCATGACTTGCCAAGAGCAAGACGCGGATAAAGAGGCGCTTTTGGATTGGCAAATGCAACAAAATTTGAGATGCTTATCAACTTAGGCTGTAACATACATGAATTTGTAAGTCCATATCCATCACACTAGAACAAAAAGAATTATAATGATCACTAGAATGAAGTAAAATACATATATATCATACAAGCCAAGTACTTAACCCTAGGTTGCTCAGACTTTTCGAAATGCAGAAGGGTTCGTGTCAGATCCTCCATTTTTGGAGAATCAGACGTACAACAACATGTCCCACAAGTGCAGTCTAGAGAGGTTAAAGTGTATGCAGATCTTACTTTTACTTCGTAGAGATACACAAGTTATTTCTGATACACCCTCAAACTTAAAATAAACAACTTGTAGAGAAACTAACATAATAATACAATAACCTAAGCAAAAAAAACACTCAACTACCAACTAACTTACGTTGGACACACCGCCAAAGAAGAAGGCAAAGGAAAAATCCCCACGCTGATTAATTAAACGGAATTTCTATGAAGTTTTCCCAGTCTTTGTGTAATTGGCATTTTGGTAATTTGCATATTTAAACTGTAACACCAAACAAAAGAAAATTAAAATCAAATATACTTAAATTATTTGAAAATTTTAATTCTAATTTTAATTGTTGCCAAATTTAGAAAGTTGTCAATTTTGTCTTTTGGAATGAAATAAACAACAAATAGTTTAGTACATGTTTTCAACGACGAAACATAATTTGATGATGTAAAAATTATTTTATAGTAACGATTTTTATTACTTAAATTCAATAAATATTGTCATGTAAATTGAAACAAAACGCAAAAAAAATAAAAACACGTACGAAATGAATTTAGAGATACCTTTAAGGGGGCAGTACAGAAAAATGGAGCTCCATATATTTTTTTCATCTTTGGTAACTGGGACACAAATGGATTCACTGCAATTAAAACATTTACTTGTTAATTAGATTAATTAACAAAAAGAAAATTAGGTATATTAATTTTCAAATAAAGTCTACAATTTATTTATTTTTGTCTTTTTTATGTCAACAAAAAGAACATGCAATTACTATAATAAAATTTCTTTGTCCTTTAAATTTTTGGATAAATCTTACCATTGAAAGATAGTAGAAAGATATCAAATATTTCCTCCGTCCATTTTTATTTTTTCTATTATATTAAAAATTACTTTTTACTTCTTACTTTTAGCATATTAAGAATCTTTTTTTCGTTCATATTTTACCTTCAACATTAATTACTTATTTTTAAATCATTATTTAAGATCTAAAATTATATATCAATTAATTATTTAGTTTTTCTATATTGGTCAAATACATACTTTCAAGGCTAATAACTCTCAACGATAAAATAGAAAAAATAATATTATTTATATATTGATTATGTGAAATGACAAATCTTATAATATATTTATTTTTAATTAAAACGACATGTAAATAAGAATAGGGAAAGTAATATTTTCTATATGTAATTTTCATTTTTTTTATTTGATTACGTTTATGGATCTACTAAAGATATTATACTTATTTAGAGTAAAATATTATACAATTCATATAATGCTACTTTTTGTTCTATCTCATGTATAACGCAGTTGATGTCCTGTCAAAATATCTATTAAATTTTGTGTCTTTAAATATGTCATATGAAAAATTAAAATAATATTATCAAAAAAAAGATTATTTTTTAACAGACTAAAAAGAATCGATCATTTTTTTTAAACGAAAGAGTAAATAATTAAGTCACGCGAAAAATAAGTATGGATATGGGTTGGTGAAAAGTAATATTTTCTATTTGTAGTTTTCAAAAGTACCTGCTACGTGGGCTCCTACTTCAATTATTCCATGTTTCAAAATAAATTGTCCTATTTTTTTTATTTATAAGTCTCATAAAATAACATTAATTAAGATGTTAAATGATAAATATATTTTTTAAAGGTATGGTTAACTATTTATCCTTAATTATATTTTAAAATATAAATTTTTATTAAATATTTGATTTTATTTATATGCTATAATTAAGAATTTAAGATATTTGTAGTTTTCAAACATATGTATCGCGGGCTAGCATTTCACATACATGTTGACAAGAATTTAAGGCTAAGTTATATGAACAAAATGCATCCATGTGATTATATTATACATACATTTAATGCTCTCTTGGTAAATTTATTTTTACACATAGGAAAAATCCTTTTGGCCAGAATTTAGTTAGAATGGTAAAATAATATATTTCACACTAAGTTATTTATCTTTTTGAATATTTTTACTTTTTAAATTTTAATACGTTTAATTAAAAAATGAAAAAAATATTAATTTATTTTAAAATAAAAAGGATATTATAAATTTTTATTTCTAATGAAATTTTCTGGCCATATGCAATTTCAAAAATATTTTTGAAAAGGAAATTTATTTTGGAAATAACAATTTAATGCTAGTACGAGAAATATCTATTTAAATTCGAAGTCTCAAATTCAAACATTAATAACAAAAATTTAAACTAAGCAAAATATTGCATGTGTAATAAGATAGAATATATCCAAAGAATAATATAGCAAAAGCTAAAATGATAGTACTCCAGAAACCATTAAAAAGAGATATTAATAGACACATAAAAAATAATCAATTAACATAATAAATAACAATATTAAAATTATTATTATTAATAATAATAATAATAATAATAGTTTGAATAATATCAAGTATTTCCATATGCCCATGACCAAGAGAATATATCTATGCCGAATACTTCACATCAATCTCATATTTACCACGGCTGGCTAGACGAAGTCACTAAGACAAAGCCACTAACGTGTTGTATTGAATCTGACTGTACCACCATCTCGGAACCAAGTCAAGAAATCATACATAAATTTATTCATATTTAGATAAAGTCTAGATCTTTCATGGTAGATATAAAGCGAAGTTAGTTATCCGACATAGATATAATTCTTTAGCCGGACATAGTCACGGCTTAGATCGGAGAAGTAGAGAAAGTAATTAGAAGGAAGAATAAAAGAAAGTACCTTGTGGCCAAACACTCGGACCTATGGAAATACTTGATATTATTCAAACTCCGGTACTCCGGCAAACTCACAACTTACAATATATTACAAGAAAGCAAGAGAGAGAAAGTAAAACTAAAAAGAAGAGAGAGCGTTTTTCCCGACCTGCTCCCTTAAACTACAAAAGGCCTTATTTATAGAAGGAAAAGGAATCTATCTACAGTGATCGATCTACAGTGACCGATCTACAGTGATTTACAGTGACCGTGGATCCCTTATCAATGGGTCCCATATGTACAGTAACAGTTTTTCTACTGTGGTTCAACAGTGTATCTACTGTTAATCAATAGTGCTCATCTTGTCTTTCTTTTTCAACTCCCTAAGAAAACCTTCTGCTTTAGACAACATATCTTCTGTCACGGGTTTCTCTGATTCACAAGGTTGGGCCTCTTGAGCATCCTCTGTGATATCATCACTCGTTTCACTTCTCATTGAAGTGTCTGATTTTTCATTGTGAGTGATATTGAGGAGTAGATTCCTCCTAACTTCGTCCAAATACTCCTTTATCATTTCTTCTTTATTTCCATCTTGAATGGAAATTCTTCTGGCAATATGCTTGACGGAGTTGTCAGCAATTATTCCTTTGTGAGGAATAGTACCATAATCTTGGATTTTTTGAGAAATAGAGTCCAATAATTCTTGGCCATATAATGATTTAGTCATGGGATCCTTCTTCATTAATTTATCCCAGAAATTATTATAATAAATCTGATATAAGAATGGAATTTGTTCTTCAGTAAAACCCACTTTCGGGGTCCATTTATGGATCTATGGAATCGTGAATTCTATGAAGAAATAAATTTGTTCAATTTGTTCTATATAACAAACATGATCTGAGTGGTATAAATCATTATGATCTGGTGAAACCTTAACCCAGTTTTTGTATAACTTTAAAAAGGGATCAGGTAAAATCTTTACCGTTGGTCCGTG